ACACACAGTGTGAGCCATAGCGCGGTATTCAGATTCTGCACTTGATCTGGATACAACTGTTTGCTTCTTACTCTTCCACGACACTAAATTACCACCAACAAACACACAATATCCTGTAGTCGATCTTCGATCTGAGGCAGAACCAGCCCAATCTGCATCACTATATCCTTCAATATCAGTGTGTCCATGATTTTGATACAGCAACCCTTTTCCAGGAGCACTCTTAAGATATCTGAGAATCCGTATAACAGCATCCCAATGACTAGTACGAGGGGTATCAAGAAATTGACTCACAACACTCACTGCAAACGAAATGTCAGGTCTCGTTACAGTGAGATAATTTAATTTACCCACAAGTCTTCGATATTGCTTAGGATCATCAAGTAATGCACCTTGATCTCCTGCTAATTTCACATTTGGATCCATAGGAGTATCCACAGGTCGGCAACCTAACATCCCAACTTCACTCAACATATCGAGTACATATTTTCTTTGACATAAATAAATCCCATATTTAGACCGAGCTACCTCAATACCCAGAAAATACTGTAGATGACCTAAATCCTTTGTCTGAAAGTTTGCCTGCAGATTGGATTTAAGTTTCTGAATCCCCACAACATCATCACCTGTAATCACAATGTCATCCACATAAACAACTAATAAAATTTTACCAGCATTAGAATGCCGATAAAATACAGAGTGATCTACTCCACATCTTGTCAGACCGAACTCCATGACAACACTACTAAACCGGCCAAACCAAGCCCTCGGAGACTGTTTCAATCCATATAAGGATTTTTTCAAACGACAAACCAACCGCGGATTCTCCCCCTGAACAACTGGTCTAAAACAGGAGAGGAAAAAGAGGGACACTGGTCTAACTCACAAGACATACTTTGTTTGATAAAATACGGAGTGGATTCAAAGAAAGTAACATCAGCACAAGTAAAAAATCGATTTAAAACTGGACTGTAACATCTATACCCTTTTTGCGCTCGTGCATATCCTAAGAAAATACACTTAATAGCACGAGAATCTAATTTATCCACCCCGGGAGCAAGCTGATGAACAAAGCAGACACATCCAAAAATACGAGGAGGCAATTTAAACACAGGTTCATGAGGAAAAAGAATGGAGTGAGGTAATTGACCTTCAAGAATATTAGATGGCATGCGATTAATTAAATAACATGCAGTTAGAACTGCATCACTCCAAAATTGTTTGGGCACATTCATGTGCAACAACAGTGTTCGAGCAATTTCGATTAAATGTCCAATTTTCCTTTCAGCAACTCCATTCTGTTGTGGAGTGTGAGGACAAGAGGACTGATGAATAATACCAGACTTAGTCATAAAGGTATTAAAAGGAGTGGAAAAATATTCTTTCGCATTATCACTGCGAAGTATACGCACAGGCACACCAAATTGATTCTTTATTTCTGTAACAAATGCACAAAAAATGGAATATAATTCTGAACGATCTTTCATTAAATAAAGCCATGTAACTCTGGAAAAATCATCAACAAAGACTACAAAATATTTAAAACCTAACTTTGAAGTGACTCGACTAGGACCCCAAACATCAGAATGAACTAACAAAAAGGGTTCAGAAACCCGTTTATTGACTTTAGGAGCAAAAGAAACACGATGATGCTTTCCTAACTGACAAGACTCACATTCTAACGAAGATAATTGATTCAAAGTAGGAACCAACTTTTTCAAATTTTGTAAAGACGGATGACCTAAACGACAGTGAATTTCAAGAGGAGAAACAGTAGCAGGACATGCTATCGGACCATTAAAGTTGAGAAAGTAAAGACCATTATGCTCATGCCCTCCACCAATCGTCCTCTTTGTCTTCAAATCCTGAATGACAACGGAATCAGGAGAAAAAGTAACTGTACACTGTAGAAATTTAGTGAGCTTACTAACAGACATTAGATTAAATGGTAAATTGGGTACGTAAAGAACAGAAGACAGCGGAAGTGATGGATTAATTTCTACAGTGCCTAGTCCTTTAACTTTAGTGGTAGATCCATCAGCTAAAGTAACATGAGGAAAGGGAGTAGACTCTTGAAAATTAGAAAAAATTTTAGAGGTACCTGACATATGATCAGTAGCCCCGGAGTCAATAATCCATGAGTCATTACCTTTTTGTGCTAAAGAAGCAGAGGGAAGAGATGCGTGACTTGTAGTTTGGTACTGTAAGAATTTAACATAATCTTCCTCGGATATAATAACAGTTTTCTGGGACCTATGTGCTGAAGAACTTGATTTAACTTGATCAGTGGTAACCCCATTAGCAAAACTTTCAACCATAGCGAATAGCACTTCAAACAAAACAGCAATCAAAATTCGCTATAAACAGTGCGCCGTGAACAGTGCGCGTGAATAGTACCGGGGTGAACAGTATCGCGATGAACAGTACCGCGTGAACAGTGCGCGATGAACAGTATCGCGTCAAGACTTTTGCTAGATGTTTAACCCTAACCCTAGGACTTTTGCTCTGATACCATGTCAACTGGTATTTTGGGAGGAAAACATCTAGTCACCGTATTATGAGTGACCAACTAGTATTTATAGGAGTACAAACCTAACAAACTATTTACAAGAATACCCTTACTAATTTATTATCTACAAGAATACTTATATTCTCTTGACACACACAAATCATATTTTCCTATTTGTAGTAAATTTTGATGCTTCAGTGAATCATACCTTTTAGTGTTTCATTGAGCTGCCCAATGTCTATGGGAGTGTCTAGTGTGTATTTTACTAAGATGCATTCCACTGGCTTTATATTTTTGCCCTTTCTCCTTGAGAAGTTTTTCAAAGATGCAGATGCATTTGGCATTGTTTGTGGTGCATGTACCAATGAAAATCTCATCTTTATAGGATCATTGTTTTGTTGGCATTCTTGTTGTCTTTGTAGATGACACATCCTATGTTAGAAAAATGCTGCTTTTGTACTCTGGCCAAGTGTAAAAGACAATATGATTCTTTTCTTTTCCCTGTGGTTCTTTGAGCAATGATGCTAATGTGACCAATTTCTTCATCGCTACATGTGAAGCTGATAAGACATGTACAAAGGATAATATGTCTTTTTTTTATTTTTATTTTGGTTGTTTTTTGGCCCTAACAACAACCATTACACAATGGACACCTTGAGGAAGAAAGTAGCATCCTTTTCCCTAACAACCTAGAGGCCCCTTTCGAAGGAGTATAGCAGACCACTCCTATATATAATAAGGTCCCTAAGCTCGTATGTTTGCGGCTGATAAGTTTGCAACAATTAAAAGTAGTAATACAACCACCTAAATTTTCATAAAATTGTTAATGACTTGTGCGAATTAAGAAATGGGCATTAAGATGGGAATGACGATAAAACCAGGTGTTTAAATAAAATGCTCTTCCCCTTTGAACGCTTTGATTTTATTAAAGCACAAAAAGCTCTTGCATTATTTTCAGTGCACTCTGATTTTGTCGTGTGTGTGTGTTATTAAGGTTTGTTTGTCACCGTTCTTTCGCCAACCTCGAAAAAGTTCTTGATTGTCTCGGGGAGTGAGCACAGTAATTCTTACTTTCTTTCTCTCTCTCTTGTGCAGAAACTTGGTCTTTTGATTACTGAGGCATATAAAGATGCGCATCAGAAGAGTGTGTTGGTGAGAATCCCCTTCTAATGTCAGCAAGGAAAAGCCTAGAAATCCTCTTATTTTGGTTTGAGATAAAGTTTGTCCTGCTAATTTTACAGGCCATGAAGGATAGGATGAGTGATCTTGCTCAGAGCTTGGGCATGCCACCAGGTCTCAGTGAGGGGCTGAAGCAATAATCCAGCAGAGGTATCAATCGAGGAACTTCAACGTTGTACAATAGAGGAGAAAGTAGGTAGACAACCTGATGCCATTTTCCCAATATTGACTACATAACATGATCTATCATTTTTGGCCAAGGGAATGTGTAGGAGAATTAGGTGCAAACAGAATAATTTTCTCATGTTATAGAAATTTTCTTCAACTGAAAGAATTTTTTCATGTTTTTTGTGACAATTTGCAGAAGTTTACATGGACAATTATGACGATTATGTCTTGGTTTGGAATTTACGTTGCCCCATATTTGGAATATCCATTTAGTAAGAGAGGTATGTGTGGAGAAAGAGGGACATTGAAATGTAGTAATTACTGCAATTGTTTCCAAAAGATGGTAGACCACTATCCATTTCTTCACTCCCTCGACCCCTTTTAGCCTTCAAATCTTTTGCTTTCTCTTTTTCCGGGTTAAGTTGTTAGATATTTTTCCTGAAAACTTGAAGCTTGTTCCTGATTGATTTCCTGTATTCTTCAAGTCCTTTTTCCAAGTGAACAAAAGTTCAACATGAAATCTTGACCAGCAGAAACATTCGTTTGACTTGCAAATTGTCGTTCCTTCAGCTCGGACAAATCAAGGAGAATTGGAGCCCATAGATATTAATGGATTAAAACTGGGTGCAGCCCATTGAAAAATGAGGTCGGATACCCTCAAAAGCCAGCCTAGCCCAAAATATTTTCTGCGTAGTGAGAAGCGCAAACAAGGGCTGAGTTGGCTAACTCTATAAAAGTTCCTCCCGCCCCCACTCCTACCTCACCACCGCCGCGTGTGTACCGTCCCTTCCAGTCCCACTATTATTATTATTATTTTTTATTTACTTTATTTTTTTCAATTTATATAGATCTAATAATAGTTTTATTAATCATTCTTTTAAAGTTTTCATAAAAAAAAGTACATCATTTTATCATAAAAACATAACATGTTACTTATTTCATACAATATATTTATATAATAATAACATAGCATTTATTTCATATTATACATACATATTATACTATATTAAAATATAGGCGAGGGGCAGAACGAGGGAACACCCCATCCCCACTCCATTCCTCCCTTCGCGGAGCAAGCACCCGTTCCCAGTGCCATCCCTTATCGTGGTGGCATATTCTTCACGTAGTACAATTAATTTTCGTGTAGTAGAGAAAAGGTTTTCTTTTTCGAGACAGAATCAAATTTCTCAACTATGATAAACAAATATAGCCATTTAATTTGGTACATATTGAAACGAATGATTCCTATTTTAGTTGATTCTCCCACAACCTTCCATGTGGACATATAATTTATCAGGACCAAAGGCTTGAGCATCTGAACTTCTCCGAGCTATTTATAACTATATATTCGAGCCTTTGCGGTGTATATGAGCAGAAGGTTCAAGATCTTGGCAAAGCTTTGCCTGCCAAGAATGATTGGAAAAGAACTAATGCTCTCTGGGGCTGAAGCAAAGGGATTTCATGGCCAGCTCCTCTAATTGTGGCAAAGGTTAGTCCTCTATATACCTCTGTCCAGCCTCCTACCTGTAGAGAAAATTTTCTCAAAGGCATTAGTTGCAAATTTCAAGATGTTAAATGTTTCCTACACTGTTAATGTTTATACATAAAATTCTATAAATTCATGACATACGTAAAAGGAAAATTTACGTGTCATGTATCTATACTCACTTGTATAAAAAGAAAAAATTCCTATACTGCATGAAAAAATATGTGTGTGTGTATCTTAGTTTTGGGTGCAAAAATTATCAATCAATGTTGTGTGGAAACATTGAGTACATGTGTAAGTCTGCATGAATTGTAAAATCCTACCTGACCACCCAGGTACCAAGGATACCATTTAGTTTTGATTTTGAGATTCAGATGGTTCAAGGAGAATCTTGTGGCTGTGACAGGCACCACTGAGTCCGTGTCACCACTGCATTGAGAAAATGGCAGTCAAGATAAATTTTGCACTATTATTGGTGGCATGTTTTGCTTGGTTTTCTTCATTCAAAGAATCAAAGGCTACAGAAATAAATAATCACACTGGGACGAGGAAAAGATGATGAAGATAGACTTCACACATTTTTATCCTAGACAAGAAAAAAAAAAAAAAAAAACTTGCCTAAGTTGCCTTCAAATAATTCAGTAAAATCAAGTGGTCATAATGTCCGAATTATTGAGGTTGGAATAGTGACCCCAGTTCCTTTCCTACTGCATTATGACAATTTATTGAGACAGTAGATTAATGCCTAGCATTACTGACCGTCTCAATAAATATGACACTGGATGGTTCCATACCTAATAAGAAAAGCTCTAAAAGTTTTCAAAACTTTTGACCAGTAAATTTTGCAGACTCGTACCTGAACACCCAAATTCTTAGGCCAGCAGCTATCAACTTCTTGTAGGTGGGCAGGATTGAAAATTCAGTGTCCTTCCAGTTCCTTATTAGTACATCACTGCCCCCACAAATAAATGAAAAAGTCAGAGGAATGTAGGCTACCACTAGCAACCAACATTTCAATGGATTCGGTGTCATCCTTGAGAGAGAGAGAGAGAGAGAGAGAGAGAGAGAGAGATTAGCAAAACAATTCATATTTGGATCCATTTGATACTAAGGAGCAAGGCTGTACTCAAAGATGGAATGTTTTTACCTGCAAGCAGTCCATTTGTATGGAATTGCTGTAGAATTTGCATGCATGGCTTTCTGAACATCTGGTCGATTGTAGTATTTCTCTGCATAGTTCTCAGTACACGGATCGTATCCCGAAATTTTTCTATGTATAAGGCTGTTCTTGAGCCTGAGTAATTTCACGGTATTATTCGCGGTCGAGGCCTTACAAGCAGGCGCATAAATACTGTACTGATCAATGTTGCCGAATTCATGATTCATGGCATAATTTACTGCATCATCACACTTCTGAGAAGACTTTTCTGATGAGAAGTTACATGATTTGAGGATGGATTTGTAAGTTCTGTCAGATATGATGGAATGGCTCCACCAATATGAAACTGTTCCAAGGTTGTCATAGTAGTTATCGGTCACAGCATTTCCAACCTGCATGGAGAAGGTATATAAAACCCTGAAATTTCCAATTGATTTGGAACAACAATTAATCATGATCAAGCCTAGTTTTGATTAGGCAAAAGAAATGACTCACCATGATTCCTTTAAGATTGATGATTGGATGGGAAGCTCCTTTGTTGTATTCAGCTATTTTCAAAGCCAACTGGGGTACATAATGGCCTAAGTGAGCAAAAGACATATCAATTAGGTGAAAAAATGTTATCTAGTTACCATCTGCTTTATTTAAGAAGAAAAGATAAAAAAAAAAAAGAAGTTGTAAGAGCTTAAAAAAAAAAAGAAAAAGAAGACAAGAAGCAGAGAAAATCCTTTGAGTGTTTCCATGCATTATGTACCTGCATAACTCTCGCCAGAGAGGTAAAAGTCTCTATCTTTGTACTGAGGAAATCTTGACATCCATCGTAGAAGGAAAATTAGAGCATCCTGAGCTGAGACAAAGTTTGGAGAATTCTAAGCAAGCAATTTGCAAATTGGACTGACAAAAATTTTTACTCTATTGAGGAGGGGCAATATACTAGAATCAAATTAACTTAAAAAAGAGAAAAAAAGAAAAAGAAAAAGAAAACAAATTGGTGCATACCTGTCCTTTTATCTCCCGAGTCCTTGAGATCAGAACTTGTGTTGGTATATGAGAAACCAACACCAGCAGGTGATTCCAAGAAGAGAATATTTGCCTCTAAAATTGCATAAACAACAAGAATATCAATAAATAAATTGTGCTTATTCAAGTTTACATAGCTAGGTCAACGCTGTCTATGGTCACCTCTATTCCACGAATGTTTGTTCAGGTAGAGAGATGAAGCAGTTTTGCTAATTCGAAATGGCCCTATTTCCTCTGATGCCCCATAAGCCACAGATGAACATCCCGGTCCTGAAATGTCAATGCATTTCTCAGGTTAAAGCAAGAAAAGTTGGTTGTTATTTTATATACTATCCATGGATGCAAATAATTAAGTAGGGGTGCAGAAGTGCAGCTAACACATAAGTTTTCAAAATCCAGTCCTTTTTTTTTTTAAAGTCAAGAGTTGACTTTGAGTTCATGGTCTAAGATTTTCGGGTTACCAGGTTTGACCATGCCCATTCCACTATTCCGGACACAAGTTTTCAGTTTTGGTACACAAATCATATGCAAGAACAGGCATAAGGCATCTATCAACAGTACAAAAAAAAAATTATGTCTTAGTCTTACACAGATAAATGCAAAGATCATGGTTAAACGTTACATCTTTTCAGAAATGGATAAGATTTTTCATGCATCTATTATACTTTCATAGCATAACCTTTCAGCAAGTTAAAACATATGGTCATTTGCGTGAATTGGATGAATAAGCAGTTTCTTGAAAGAAATGAACACATGATATCATAACATCAATGCATCCTTATGGGAAGCACATTCAATTCCATCTTCATAATAATCTGCAGTAACTCACCTACCCATTGAACATAATCATTAATATTTTCCATCGTTTTTGCTCCTGATCAGTCAACTTCACTTATTAAACACACAAGACAGTGATAGATACTAGTTGCAATATTCTACTTCTAGTTCTAACTTCTAACCTTTTCCCTAAAGTTAAATTTCATTGTTTACTACGTATAACAATGACAGTAACTCCTGTCGTTCCATCTTTTGTTCAGAATATCTCAGACATGTCCTGACCGTCATCATCGCTGTCATATTTTTAACCTTGTTAGCTTCTGAACAGGCGTGCTTGCAAGAATGAACATAAACAGTGAGCTTTTTGAATGTTTTTTTGCATTTCTAACAGACCATGTACGTACTCTATCTTAATTTTCAGGCTAACCAAAAAAAATACAAAATTTTAAGAGTCATTTTTTACAAAACTTGTAAATTGTCATGGGAATTTATTTACAAAACTTAGATCTAAGCAAGTAAGCAAGTGCGCTTCGCGCGTGGCTCCATAAACTGGATGGACCAAGATTTCTTTTTTTGACCCTTAGGATCCTTTATTGGTTGGGAACAGGACAGCTTGGTTGCCACTTGCTTGTAGATGAAAGCTATGGTACAGCTACAGGGAAAGTTGTTCAACTTTTTGGTGAGGTGGTTTTCGATTTTGTTTCCTTATCGTTGATGTATTAACAAAAAGATAGACACGAAAAAACTGAGGCCACATACAGAACTTTTGAGCTTTCTGAGCAAATCCAAACAAAGAAAAAGTTTCAGAAATAGAAGGAATAAACACCTAAAAGAGAAGGAGACACAGAGAAATCACGAGCACCCAAAAGGGTTCTCCCCTCTTTGGTACTATCAACAGTAATGTATTTTTTACTTCATTGGAAACTAGGTTTTGCATTAACGTTTGAATTGTAATTTGAGCCCAGACATTAACTGCTAGCTTATGGAAGAAAATTCAGTGGGCTTTATTTTTTTATTTTGGTGTTTTTTGGTGCTGGGGAAGAGGGAAGAAGGGAGTTGTGGTTGGTGTTGGTGGGGTTCTTGTAGTCGAGAAATTGACTAGGAGTTAAGAACAAGAGTGGGGCTAGGACAATTATTAATTCTTCTTCGAGTTTTGGGATATTACGTATGAGCTTCTTAAGGCTTTGGAAAGAATGGCATGGCCAAGAGACAAACCAAATCCAAATAAATGACCTACTGGCCAATCTAATCATTACTAAATTATTAGTCTTTCAAAATTAGTTTACTTGCTCCCATCTACTATTATTGTCTCCCTCTCTTTGCATTGTATTTAATTTGTTTGGCTTTCTTTATCACTTCTACTAATATCCATACTTTTGGTTTTGACTCCAAAACACAATTTTAGAAAGGAATTATGCTTCCCTCCAAGTATTATTTTCTTTTTCTTTTTTGGTGGTTTCCATTTTGAGGGAAAACTTTTATCATTAAGATAAAAAGCATTTTTCCTAGGAGACATGTCAAAAAAAAAAAAAAAAGAAGTCCAAGCTAAATGTTTATGCATGCATGTGAGAACTGTTTAATTAACGTCCCAAAATCCAAATTCCATGCCAGAATGCACGGGACCTAATTCATTTGAGTTTATAGACTTTGCAATTTTTCCCATGATTTTGAAGTTCAGAAAACACATTTTACTTTTTTCACTTTCAGTAATAAGAACGTTACAGATCAATGTAATGCACAAAAGATGGATCTAATTCCTAATTGCCTTAGTGTTTCCTTTTCTTGCAGGGTTTCTTTTGGGGTTGAAAAAAGTGAGAATGAACTGACCTCCATTGAGCCAGAGAACGAGGGGCTTCTTCTCAGGACTGGAAGTAGCTTCTGTCAACCAATAGAAAAGAGCCCTCCCATGGTCTTCATTCACTGGAACATAACCTGAAAACTGAGAAAACGAAACTGGTGGCTGCCCCGGAAGTTCTAAGATGCGATCCATTTCTTGTTGCTCATTTTTCAGAGCCATTGTACCATAAATTGATACTAGAAAACTCAAAAAGCTCAGTAGCATTAGAGTCATCTGGGCTGCCATTGCACCCTCCACTGTGACCACCGCTACCTCTAAATCCTTATATTTATATTTATAAGGAAAGTTTCATGTCCACCAATTATAGGGGAAGAATTTAGTCATTTATTGAAAATATATAGATATGTTTGAGTGAAGAAACTACTGATGATGAGCAGAAAAAAAAATAGGTTGCTAGGGGTTGTATAGATCCTTAATGTAGCTACATTACTTCTTCTGCAGACAGCTCAGAGTTGTGGCCCTCCTTCCTTGCATCTCCCTCTCACTGTTGTGTGGGAGAGAGAGAAAGAGAGATGAGCTGGTCCTAGATGAGCAGAATGAGCCTAGATTGGAATTCTACCTACACTTAACTTAATTTGTGCCAACTAAAAGTTTCAACGCAAGGGGATGGGAGGGTGAGGTGAGGTGAATGTGGTCCAATTGATTGAGGAGGGAAGGTTAAAAACATCAAGAAATGGATGTGTGGAGGTTTATTTAGGAGGTGTTCGGTAAATGGATACTAGGGACAAGAATGGGTATCAAAATTAATAATATATATACATCTATTGTTTGATGAAGGATTGAAGAATCTTTGAATGAAATAAAAATGTTAGATTTTACTCACTATATTAGTTTTGATTTGGGTTTCAATTATTTCATTCTATAGTAGAATAAAATTGAGTAATATAGAATAAAATTAGTAGACTCTAAACTAATCAAGTAATATAGAATATGCAAGGAAAGACCGTTTTGTTATTCCATAAAAAAACAATAATAATAATGTCACTCTGATGCAATTTGGACCGTGCAAGATTCTAAAACTCCAGTTATCATACTTGTCCATGTCTTATTAAAGCTGCATTATGGATAATTTGGGTTCTTTAGCTTGACCTTTTTCTTCCAAATTGTGTGCAAAACATAAGGGCTGCTTCAAATTTTTAAGTATCTGCGGATGGCTACTTATCAATACTTGGTTCTGTTTTTGGCAATGTATTTGATATAGTTTCATTTGTATTTGCTAAGAGCTAGTAGGCCGGATAGCTTTTCCAAGCTGCTGCAACATCTGATCCCTACCAATTCATTAGAAACTTGCATGCTTTGACAATGGATTTGGCAACCAAGTGGAAGGAAGGCCATCAATACATCCATAATTTGTAATTTAAATCTAAGTAATTTGAGCAAGCAGGCTGCAACATTTTGAAATTTGAAGTCTACATTGTTTATATTTGTGAGGCACAGGTGAATCATTTCGTTTCCCATCAAAACTGGAAATTAACTTTGGTATTCTGCTGTTATTGCGATAAAGCTGAAAGAATAAATGGGATCCTTCAAGAACTCTGACATTAATTTAAGTTTCCATTCATATATTTCTTGTGTCAATTTTAACAAAGCCTCAAGAATGTGCAAATGCCCTAATCAAGCCCTTCAAAATTTAGTATTGCAATCTTGGCCTTCTAAGCTATGATAACATGTCAAGTTCAGATGCTTGAGTCGTTGCTAAGTATTCCACTGTGTTCAGTTGTCCTTGTTGAGTCTTGTCTTCCTTCTTCCATTTTTGGTGTATCAAAAATATGCAAAGGAAAAAGAAACTACGAAATGCCAATGGAATAGTTGGAATCTGGGCAAGATTTCCGAGATTTTGTTTCCTGATTTATCCATTCTTTTATGTGATTCGATCGCGATACGTATGCTTCCACACAGCATGAGCATCACAATTTATTGCTTTGAAAAGAAAACTTCAATGGAATGGTCCTGGAAACTTCTCTTTTGGCTTTTTAAGATGATAAGATCCCATGTTCATTATTAGATCCAAGGATGGTATAGGGAATGATGTTCAAAAACTACACACACTTTTGACCTCTACCCATATGTTTATAATACTTGACTCCACACTGATGAATGAAGCGGTTGCTGTATAAATCCGCATTGATAGATGTTTTTATCAATTCTTTCTTGTTGCAAGTAGCATAAGATTGTCCTCCTTCAACCCAATAAAAAAAAAAAAAAAAGCATAAGATTGACCATGACATTGTTGATATTTGTCACAATAAGTCAACCTGGAACTGGTAGGTTTTGGGTGGAGCGGTTTGTATTTGGTGCTTTTTTCCAGACGTGATACTAACCTATCGTGCGGGATGCCCACGCTTCCTTGTACATTAAATTTACCTTGATAGTAAGGATTAGAGTCTAGAGAAGCCCTTCTACTAATAATAATTTACTTTATACCGACTACTAAAACAAATCGCACTTCTGATGAGCATTCGGCAATTTTATTTTATTTTTTCATTTAAGGGTATTCCAACCTTTCAGCCAAACTAATCCCTTAAAATCGTGTAGAATCTTGCCCCAAGGATACAGAGCGAAATAGCACATAGGGATCGATCATGAGATTTGCTGGTAACTACCAAGTTACGGAACCAATCGGACTACCCGCGGGGGGCAGCAATTTTTTTTATATAAAAAGCAAATGTCATTAACAAATTATTGAAAATCGTCCCGCACAATTTGATCTATTGCCAATGTGTATTACAAATTACATATCTGTAATTTAACAAATACAATAGATCCAAAAAATTATGAGCAGATCTAAAAAATATAAGAAATTTCAAAGTTATCTTCTAACAGATAAATTGCTGCAGTTTGGAAGGAGGGACGGGTTAGATAATATAGTGGAGGAAGTATCAATGTGAATTTTCGGGTTCGAGACTTCCCACTTATATTAAAAAAATAAATTGCTGCATCTCCCTTCTATATATGTTGCAAGCGCTAGATTTATTAATCAACAATTTTAAGTTCTAATAATCGCTAGATTTATTAATCAACAGTTTTAAGTTCTAATAATAATAATGAGATCTGTCGAGATAGATCTAAGATCCAAAAAAAATACATAGGAATACTTAGAAGAACAGAAAATTCTCATTGGAATCCCTATGAGAAACAAAAAACTTGCTAAGAAAACTTAGAAGAGATTTTATTAGAAGGAAAAATCATTTAAAACGTCCTTTACATTTCATCAAAAGAAATTTTTTGTCCTTCACTTTTAGAATAGTAAATTTACGTCCAAACAAAATCAAATCGGTAAATTTTGGTTCCGGCATAAGTTTTTGACCATTATTTACCTTGAATCTATTGCATGATCCATATATGGTTATTCTTTTAGGGGCAAAAAAGTTAGATCTCATTTGTAATTAAACAACTAGTGCAACCTATATTCATTTTTACCCCTAAAAAAAGTAAAATTTGATCCGGACCGTATTCATTTTTTCCTAAAAATGTGGAATTTGACCCAATTCATATTCATTTGTTACTAAAAAAAATGAGATCTGACTTTTTGGTACATAAAAAATGACTCATGTGAGACACATAGTGATTTCATATTAATAAGTGATTGAAAACTTAAGTTATGACTAAATTTTATTAATTTGAATTTTTAAGTGACGTAAATTAACATTTTTAAAGCGAAAGATAAAATAATGAATTTGATAAAATGTTGGTGACTTTTTGAATGATTTTCTCTTATTAAAGAAAGGAGAAGAAGTAGAGAGAAGTTCGAGAAGAGAGTTCCTTAGGAGTTAAAGTTGTTATTGTTAACATTCAGCGAATATTATGGTTCATTAATTTCAAGTCTATCAGAATCACACCAAGATTTGACAATAATTTATAATGTCCTTCAAATATTTTAAAGGGCTACCGTATTATGTACTCAAAAGATACCGAATAAGAGGTGGGATTAGGGTTGTCTTGCCTATAATATTAGAAAAATATACGCAATTCAGAGATAGGTAATAATGTTAGAATTTTACCATTAACCCCCCCCCCCTTTTTATACTTATTTTAGGACTAGAAAAAGACTTTTTTAAATATTAGTGTAGAAATAATACCATGACACTCGTCATAAATGTGCTGCACATCTAGCATTTTCCTTCAAGTATTTAACATGATATACATGGTTTTTAACCTAAAGAAACATTAACGGAGCAGATTTGAAGCCTTCGATCATATCAAATCCACATTTATTAGAAACTCCCATTCAAGTGCTCCAAAAAATTAAAAACAAATTCTGCAAAAGCAAAATATGGATGGCGGATATATCAAACGCGTAACAACTAATAGAACCTTATTCATTGACGGCATAAGATCGAGTGGAGTGGATATACTCTAAAAAATGCTTAGTCTAATAGATGGCATGCATGTGCCCCTTGATCAGTTGATCTCTACAGCGTATACTGCATATTCAATTGTAGAAGAATCATTGGACGATCCCAGAGATATAGAGGCACGTTAATTTCCCAGCTGCTACGGCACCGGCGAATTTGACCAGCTTATAATTCCAAGTTACTTTTTTAGTAGTTTGCAATGAGAATACTTTGTACAAGATAGGATCCAAGTAGTATAATCTTTTAGCCAATAAGTAAATACCTTTCTGTGCCCCGGCTGGCATGTTGATAAAGTTAGCAGTGACTTCTCTTCAATGCTGCGCACAGTTGGGTAGTTTGATATTCTTAATGTCATTTTGCTCGTATCTCAAGAAATGTGGAATGAGTCCAAGTTCCTTAGCTTTAAAATACTGTATGGTAAAAATTTCCCTTTTTTTTTTTGGTTCTTTAAATGGTATCACATTACATATTCGTACTAGGTAGTCTTTACCCTGAATCTTTGAAGTTTGAACATCTTGAAGTTCTGAAAAGGATACTCGATTCTGTTGCATGATAGAATAAATAGTGTAGCTTCAAATGGTGGTGTAATTTGATGGCCTAAAAGCTATTCGGCTTTCTGGTTTGTTTAGCAATACCGAAGGTCCGAAAGGCTGATCACTTTTGTGTGTTTTCTTGGGTGGACAGTTTCCAAGCTTGCTTTGCTGTTGCGCTGCATATTTATAGCACGAGGTTGACTTTGCCACCAAAACTTTCTTGAATTTCTGAGTTTTCCATTAGGGCTCATAGTCTTTCAAAATTAGCTTCCTAGTCAAATGGACTTCGCGTTCCAGGTATGTACGAAGAGTTCGCCCAACAATTCATAAAAAGTTGGGTAATTGGTTATTGCAGAGGTTAAAGGCCTCCACTCTCGATTTTAGAATAACGAGGACTACTCTTTTTAGAAAGAGGGCTTTGAACTAAGAAATTAGAATTTCAAAGTTCTAGGGTCTTTACTTTAACCATTTTAATAACTAGATCAAGGTCTCCTTGACCGAACCACCTCTCCTGTTTGTTAGACAACATAAAAAACTTGCCATACTCCTAATCAAGTGAAGAATATTAGCTAGTTTTATCATAAATTCACTTCAATGTCCCCAAATGCTATTAAAAGTAATAAGTAATTATTTCAAAAGAAATTAAGAAGAGAGGCTGGCATTAGTTTTTCTTTTCTTAAAAACTTATGGTTTAAAAAAAAATTAATGACACT